CTTTTAATTAATGTAAAGATATGCATGAATAAGCAAATAAAAAAATAAATAATTATCTTTATGGCACAAATTAAAATTGGCTCTGATAAACATAAAGTAAATAAGTATATATATGAATGTATTCATGATAGTTGAAAGACTTCCCTTAAATGATAATGATGCTGTGCATCATCACCTTACCTCATCACTTTCTCTCCTCTCGATGCAATAGTGTAGAGTTCCAGATGCAACAATTCGCAGATAGCCAAGTCCCTGAGTAACGAGGGAATGTTCTACCAATACTGGAGTTTGGTGACCCCCCCCCCCCGCCGGGGTTGGCTACTGCGTTGTACTGCCCTACGACTTCTCAAGGCTCCCCTCTGCTTGCACTTACAAACATAAAAATCGCTCGCCCTGCCCCTGCAATTGTTTAAATGTTTCCCGCGCACGTGTATTTACGACGGCCACCGGAGAAGTAATCGCCCACGCGTGAATGGATCTGGCCAGACATTTGGACGTTTGGCGGGTAGGCAGCTGTATACAGTGATACTCTTCGTTTTGCGGTGTTCAGCTGGGGAGAGGATTACCGGTGAGAGGATCCGTGGGCGAGGGGAGTTGCACTCTGTTTACATCGATCAAGAATGATGCCTTGACTTAAAGCTTTCGTGACTGCAGGAATTAATATTCTTTGGGTCTTTCGGTAAAGTCATGTAGATAGAAAAAATAATAACAATAAAATAATAAAAATAAATTGAAAAGAAAGTGAATGAAAAATAATAATAAAAAATAAGAATAAGAACGATGCCGATTTAGTTTTTGAGAAAGCGCCCATTTTACATGAGAAATTTGGGTAGCACTTCACGCATGGTGAGCTGCTTGCATCTCATTTCAAACGTGTGAAGGGCACCCCCAGTGGCAGCTGTTCGTGTCCGGCACGGTTACTCAGCACCTGACTCACGAGTGGGCACTGTGCCTACGTCGCACGTGTGGACAAACGTGGCCCAGTCTTGCCCTCGGGGAGGAGCCTCGCTCTTGGCGTAGGTGTGTGTGCGTGTCGCCGGGGTAGTCTGTGCGATACTCTCGAGGGACTGCAGAGAATTGCTCCGTAGGAGAAGAGCAATTACAGTTCCGATCGCGTCTCACTGGGGGTACTGATGAGACCGGGACACCTTCCGAACGCTTGAAAGCAATAGTGAGCAACCTCACCAGATTTAAATTTTTATTGATTTTAATGTGGAGATTGTTCGATAGGATCTATGGAGAGGTGCTCTCCATCGCACTCCCTAGAACCAATTTTATCAAACGAGCAGTCACTCTGCAATGTGTGCACTTTAATTGGTGCTCAATTATTGTTTTGCATCCATTTTATCTGAAAGTCCACGGGGGATCTGCAGAAAAGGGGAAGACGCACAGATCCCCTAGCCCACCACAGATCCATGGATAGAGGTGCCACGGTGGCGAGATGTTAACTCCCTTGCCTGATATGCAGGAGGTCGTAGGTTCAATCCCGACCCTGACACCTGCTTGCGTGGATTTTCCTCCGAATCCTCCGGTTTTTCCCTCTATATTTAGGAAGATGCGTTTATAGTATTTGGCTGGTTTAAATTTCCACGTGATAATCCGCTTTGTTGAGCTATCATGTGTGGCCAAGTTGCTTCTGAAAAGAGCTGTATAGCTCAGTGGCCCTTACTTGGTAGTTTTTTCGTTTTAGGATTTGCCAATGAGAGAGATTGGTGGCGAGCACAGGAGAGTCGTGCCGTTGTCTCGGATCATGTTGTCCACTTCCGTCAATTTGACGGGGAGGTGTCGTCGACGTGTCACTGCCAAACGTCGCAGCGCGACAACGCCGCTCCTGAGCGCACCGCTCGCCACGCCCGAAAACAACGGACGTCTGGCACACCGTCTGTGGCCAGGCCTCGTGGCCCAAGTGAAACTTCCATCTCTCGTGTCGTGAATAAACGGCGTCCGCTCGAAGTCGGGTTTTTGAAGCAACGAAGGAGGCTCAGTCATACTGGGCTTTCTGCAGCAATTTGCTTTTTCGGCTCTAATAAGAACTGGCTTCTGTTTTTTGCCGGGCACATGTGCATTGCCGGAAATCGGTGTGGGGCACTGGCGTGGAGACAGCTGTGGCTTTTTGGCGACAGCTTCTGTGTTTTGGAAGAAACCTTAATGTTGCTGTCATCGTTGTCGCCATCGTCGTTGATGGAAGTGGAGGACGTGAACACAAGGGACAACCCAAGAGACTGAGGGACAGGGACAGACAGACAAAACAAAAGGGAGTAGAAAGACGGAAAACAAAAGAAATAGGCCATGGCAGGCAGGCGTGAGACGGGATGTGGTGGTGGAGGCCCGGACCCCGGCACCCTGCAATGAATCGCCGCGCGCGCGTGTGATGCCCGCCCACACGTGGCTTTGCAGTAAAGAAGCCAGGTTGCTCTTCTACCCATTCAGAGGTGTGGGTTTTATCTCCTCGATTGTGTAGATCATCCACTAGGATGCTTAGACTTGTTTCGGTAAATCCTCTCAGACAGAGAGCTCTCCTGTGTGATAACCAGCACTGGGGATGCCACGCACGTTTATGTGGCAGCGTTCGTTATCACTGGGGAGAGTTCTGTCACGATTGCAGGATTCGAAGGCGTTGTATATGAATCCAGCCGTGTCGTGTCGGTACATAGAAGGGGCGGGGGGGGGGGGGGTTAAACAAGCGGTGGACGTGGCTACGTTGCACGTGGCCAGTGATCCGGCACCGTAGGGGCAGTGGCGAGAATTGGCGTTGAGTAAGTGCCATAACCCTGGCTCATCAGGAGAAGGCAGTACAGCAGGTGTGGTCTAATCTCCATCAGTCCCATCTGCAGGAAGATTGAGTGTAACCCCCATCGCACGTGTGGGATTTCTCCAGGTGCTCCAATTTCCTCCCATGCCTCTCGTTAATTGGCGGAACACATCTTAGTATTTGCCCTCCTATGTGTGCTGTGGATCGTGCAGTGATGTACAAATGATCCCGCGTAGAAACGCTGATGATCATCATCATCTCTGTTACTGGCAGATAATGGGGAGAGATGGACAGGGCATCATGGTGCAGAGATACGGAAATGGCTGCTGAGTGCGAGGCTTGCATTCTGATGCCATGTGATGGGGCGAAAGCTCGAAGGATAAACAAGTCATATGCGTACGTATGTTGAGCTTCTTTTGCACCTTACGTTGCCAACTGTGCTAATCGGAGGTGCAAGGGAAAGACATCAAACTAAACACATAAAGCAGTTCTAAAGAAATGAGTTTTCAATCTAGATGATTTAAAGTGCGTAGCTCCAGTGGCTTTCTAATATCGGAAGGAATGGCGTTTCGATGGTGAGCCAAAAGCCACTGCCATGAGGACGACTGGAGTTATTGTGATGGTTTATGCTCCTTGACGAAATCAGCAAGGGATCGTGGTTCCTTTGTGGCAAGTACTTTGTGTGTAATGAGTGCGACCTTATAATGGATTCGTTCGGCAACGGGGAAACAATGCAGCTCAGCGAGCACTGGATGGACAAGTTCGGATCTTGCGGTACCCATCACGACACATGCCATAGGACAAATCCCGGTGCTATAGATTGGTGACTGATGCGCAGGCAGAGAGACAGAAGTTGAACAGAATACTGGTGCCTGTATTTTTAGCCACGGTGGCAATATATTAACTGCCTCGCCTGGTATACAGGTTGTGGGTTAGATCCCGACCCTGACACCTGTATATTTGGAGTTTGCATGTCTTTTTCTCCGCGGTCGTTTGGCCTTTTCTCCGGGTTCTCCGGTTTTTCCCTCCACATTTAGAATCAACATCATGTGTTTAGAGAGTTTTGGCTGCTATAAATTTCTAAATGATAAGCTACTTCGTTGTTGAGCTATCATTCGTGGCCAGGTCACTTCTGAAAATAGCTACATAGCTCAGTGGGCTCTTCCCTGGTAAAATAAAAAAATGTTTAGTTGTATAGCCATTGCGCTCAACTCTGACTCATGTGAGCCAGCTCAAGCCACACGGTCCCAGCCTTGCTTTGAATTTTCCCACAAGCCTGAGCCCTAGCTGAGCCTGAGCTGAACCCCACGGTTGAGCCGCTCAACATTTTGCGTCCTCGGAAAGCCGGCGAGCATCCTGAGGCTGAGCCCTGAGCCGCGAATCAGAATGCGGCCGCTATGACTTTCAGTCCGTGAGTCTCGAGGGTCCACGGAGAGGGGAGCTGAGCGCGAGAGAGAGAAGCAGGAAACGAAACAGTGTAATAAACTCGGAGAGAGAGAGGGAGCGGGTCGAAGGAGATAGGCTCCCGCAAGGAGGGCAGAGAGGGACAGCAGGCAAAACAAGCGGCGCGCGCGAGTGCTTGGCGCAGGCAGGGATAATGGTGCGATTGTGGTCTCCTCCACGAGCGTGGAGTCGCCTAACCCAGTGCCGCCGACCACCCCACCTCACGCCAGCCACCCCCCCCACCCTCCACCCCTCACGGCTGGGGCCGGACACCAGCCAGCTCCCAGCTGCCCGCCCCCTCAGTCTCTCCCCTCTCACCCTGGAAGGAAGTTTGCACCATGTGACGGCATCGCGATGATGATGATGAGGAGGAGGGCTGGGGAGAGAGGGGGGGAGGGAGGGCGTCTGGGGGCTGCACGGGCGAGTTTTCCGTGACACCGTCCAGTGCATGCCTGCGCGCCCGCGTGTGTGCGTGTGTATGTGCGCCTGTCGGGCGTGTGTGTGTGCGTGTGTGTTTTTTAAAACTGTTGGACCAAAAATGGCCATGACGCCGAGCGTATTGCCTCATCGCCGTTTGCACGGGACATTTTGGCACGGCCGCCCCGCGGCTTTCAGTGCATCGCCGCGCGCCGACCAGCTGCGCTCGTTGGTCCGTCCGCTCTCCGTGAACTCTTGGCCGAGACTGCGTTGACCGTCGACCGGGAAGGTCTTCAAGCCGGCCGCTCTGCTCCGCTGAGCATTTCGGCGATTAATTTTCTGGATGGTTTTTCCTTTTTATTTTCTTTGTTGTTTTCCCTCTGCCCAGCGGTCTATGCCGGGGAGTTTTGGATTCGAAAGCCAGACGCCGGAACCTGGGATCTCGACTGCCCCAGTTCTCCGCTGCTCAGCCTTCGCTCCCCGATTGACGGAGGTGAGGTCACGGCGGCTCGCTCGCTCAAGAGTCGACGCAAAAGGTGTGGGCGGCAACGCGTGGCATAACAGCTCGCGGCGCCCTTATGCCGACCGCCGGCTCAGAAAGGAACTAATTGCATGACCGTTTTTGCCGTTTAGAACCACCGACGTAAAGCATGTTGAGACGATGTGGCCATCACAGCTGCCAGCAGCGAAAGACACATCCGTAGACCGGATTCATCCTCATTAGGACTCATCAGTACAATACAGTCATTGGCATTCGCTGCTGCTGTGGTGACCCACAAGCACTAAAGGCAACGATAATTTAAATGTAAATGACAAGTAAACATAACAACAACAAAAACATAATTCAGTGCCGGGAGTGGATAATTGAGGTGAGAGGGGGCGTTCATCTCCTGAAGTTAGTAACGTCTCCTGCAGCTTCTTCTTTCAACCTTTTTTTGACGAGGCTATTGTGGACCAACTTTGACTTGATTGTGTCTCATCAGCAAGGTCTGTTAAGCTCTCGCCATCAGGTGCTCTCATGTTATAGGCTGGAGGCTCAGGCTGGTTTCAGCTTCACCGAGTCTCATCTGCAATTGGCATTGCCCTGCTGCCACTTAGCTGGTGAGCCCCTTCGTCCTCTGCACTGCTCGTAATATCAGGGCACACCAGGAGCTCTGTGGTCTATGAGGCCGCTTCTTCCTGATGAGGCTTGGTGAAGGCAAAACCGGTACAAAAAAGTTGTCTTGTTTAATAAACAAATGAGTGATTCATAATGAGAAGGTCAGTACGCCGCCCGAAAGACTGAACGTGATTTCCTTCTTGAGAATAAACAAAAAGCCACACCTGTTTATTTGTTTAGTACAGTATAGCTATATTCTTGGTTCTTTCAGTAAAGTCACGTAGAAGGGAAACAATAAAATAATAAAAATATTGTTTCCCTTCTACGTGACTTTACCGAAAGAACCAAGAATATGAATCCCTGCAGTCACGAAAGCTTTTAAATCAAAATTTTACAGTATAGCTGTTTCGTAATTTGCCAGTGCGGCACAGAAACTTTTTTTGTCAGCACCAGTCGCTTTTTCTGGGGGGGGGAAGTTTTCCACAGATGTTTCCACCGCTCTCTGGAGGGTGTTTGGGGGGAATGTTTTTTTCCTCAAACACCGGTGGCAGACAGGAGTCCCGGCACTCCTAGCTCGGTGCCAATTCTACCCCGGGAGTTTAAGTCAGCATGAGACTGAGCCACAGCCGCGGTAAATGGCGAACAGTGCACCGAGCAGCATTCGTTGCACCGTGGCAGTACTCTTCGTATTTTCACATTTGATAAAGTACGCCCTTTAATCACACGACTGTATTTACGGTGTGTTATTCTTATATTTTTTTAGTGTGTGTTTAAACCAAACAATGCCAACGTTTCCGTGCGTAAACGAGCCTTGGGGTTCGCCGCGAGTCGGCGGCGCAAACACCGTGTCGCCGCTGGTGCGGCCGCTCGGGCGTGCATTGGCGTGCCACTCTCGTGCGCGCACAGTGGGACACGCTGTGTGGAAATATTAAAACATGCGAAGGGAGATGAACAAAAGTCGAAGGGCGAGTTGCAGATCTGAGTGGCCGCCGTGCTCGCCGAGCGTTACTCTGAGAGTGCAGGGTTGCGCGTGCGTGGGACCAGATTAGAGGTCGGGGGTCTGCTGCTCTTTGCTCGCGGGATATTGGCTGTGGACGCTGCCGCGTTGTCGCTGCAATGAGCACCGGCACCGCATCGCCATGCGTCTCTGAGTGGCATAGCCTTGGCCTCCACGTGCGCGCCGTCGTGTTTGCGCCCTCTGTGCAGCCCCATTGCCCCACTCGTGACACAGGGCCCACCCTCCCCATGGAGCCCACCCTCCCACCCCTCCCCATGGGGCCCACCCTCCCACCCCTCCCCATGGGGCCCACCCTCCCACTCCTCCCTATGGGGCCCACCCTCCCACCCCTCCCCATGGGGCCCACCCTCCCACCCCTCCCCATGGGGCCCACCCTCCAACCCCTCCCCATGGGGCCCACCCTCCCAACACGTCACCAGTCACCGCCGGCATTTTCCACTGATGTAATTATTATTGTTGTTATTTATTGTTCCGCTAGTTTACCGAGTCACGATACTTTTTTTCCGGAGGGTCCTGCCAGGTTTTCGCAGTAGGGGGTGATGCTGCTGCCGTGTGTCATCACAATTCAGTAATTTGCAGGTAATTTTTCAGCATGAGGATGTTTTGGCCAATACCGGTTACATCGTGTGTTATTTTAGGTGTGAGAAGAAACCAGAAAGCCCAGAGGAAACCCACAGCAGAACCAGGGGGGTGAACATACAAACTGCACGCAGAAAGGCACCCGAGCCCACAATTGAACCCAGGTCCCTTTTGCTGTGAGACCACGAGTGTCACCACTGCGCCAAGCACCCTGCTGCCCAGAAAGCACCGCGTGTGTCAACCACGTGTGTCAACCACGTGTGTCAACCACGTCCGCGAGCGTGTGTACGTACGGTGCGATCGCCGTGTAATTGTGCCCTATTGTGCCGCGGTGCCAATGTGTGAACCATGAGTCGGGATCCGAAGTTGTGAAAAAGTCGGTGCCCTTTGGCTCAGAGGTTTAGCTTATTGCTACATTCCATCTGATGCGCTCCAACTCACTACGATGAATCTTGACTTAAAGCTTTCGATGACTGCAGGAATTCATATTTTTGGGTCCTTCGGTAAAGCCACGTAGATAGATCAAATAGTAAAAATAATATCACGACGTTTCGATCGCAACACAAGCATTCGTCATCAGGTGAGAAATATCGCGGGAGAGCTGCTGAGAATATATGGTGGGAGAGTTATAAAGGTTTGGGATGGGTGTAGCCCAAGAGTCAGTGGGAGGAGCTAGAGATGAAGTTTGCATGTAAATGTAAGATCGGGTAAATCTTGACAAACGAAGCTGTGGGGGTGGCCATTGTATTGTGAGAGATTAGCATATCAATGTAAGAAATTTGCTTGTAAATGAAGGATTCGTTCATGAAGCCATCCAGATATATAAACAGACACAATTTCAACCGAGAAGATGGGTGCAAACTGAGCAATTATTCGAAGGACGTTATTAACCAGTTTAAGTCATAACTGGCTGTGATGTTCCCTCCCTACCTACCTATGTTGGCAGTTATTTTACACTCTCTGAGTTACATTCACTAACACAGCCACCGTTAGCTGTATTAGTAAATTGCAGCTTGCCATCCTTTTACACCTCCATGTGGCAATGGCTCTTTCCGAGCTCTCTCCGAGCTTACATTTACAAGCACATTGATTACATTGATATGCTAATCTCTCACAATACAATGGCCACCCCACAGCTTCGCTTGTCAAGATTTACCCGATCTTACATTTAGATGCAAATTTCATCTCTAGCCCCGCCCACTGGCCCTGGGGCTACACCCATCCCAAACCTTTATAACTCCTTACCTTAGCAGTGCTCCTACCATATATTCTCAGCAGCTCTTCCCCCATATTTCTCACCTGATGACGATTGCTTGTATTGCGATCGAAACGTCGTGATATTATTTTTTATAATTTTTTTATTATTTGATCTATCTACGTGGCTATACCAAAAGACTCAAGAATATGAATCACTACGATGAGTTGTTGTGTTCACTTTCTCAGCTCGCCGGTCTGCCTGCATGTGTAGTCGCTGATAGCAATCCCGCACGGCAGCGCCGTACCATTGCGGACTGCACTGCATTCCACCCTGCTGATGCACACGAGCACATCCTCGCACATCTCCTAAATATATACAGCATATATAGAATGTAAATGCATACATACACACGCACACAATGTATGCACACATACACAAAGATATATACACAATGAATACAAGACAAAAATCCCCCATAGAGCCTTGACAGACTGTAGGGGCAAGTGCTGTTAGCGAGCACCTATGAAGGCCAGCATGGCACACGAGCGGGTGGGTGACCAGCACCATGCCCGCCTGCCTTCATCTCCCCAGTGGCGATGTTTACACACCGCACCAGGTGCTCATTTGAGGTAGAGTAGACCTTGGGGGAGGCACAGGACCGGTCCAGATAATCGCTACTGGTGTTGGCCGTGAACAGGAATCGAACTCTGATCACCGGGTCCATAGTGCAGCGCACTAACCACGACCCTTCCGCTCCCCCATATAAAGGACAAATATCCTCCAAATAGCCTTAATAGACTGTTGAGGAAAGTGCTGTTAGCGAGCACCTGTAAAGGCTAACAAACATCCCCCATATAGCCATACACAATGCATACACAATGCATACACAATGCACACACAATGCATACACAATGCATACACAATATATACACAATGCATAGACAATGCATACACAATGCATACACAATGCATAGACAATGCATGCACAATGCATACACAATGCATAAACAATCCAGCCAGGTGGCTCTGTATCATTTCTCATTTGAGCAAGAATCACTTTGCATTTTGCTAACGCTGTGTGTGATGATGCTTTGTGTGGCGATGATGGTGATGTGGTGCATTGATGATGATGATGCAGTGATTTTTCTATGGATATTGTCACCCCCATCATACGAATGTGGAATTTTCATCACTGGCTAAAGGTTGTTAATGGGTCTGCTTGTGATGCTCATTTGAGTGGAGATGCCGCTCTTTTTGTCGTTGAAAAAAATTCGTGTGTGCGAGTGTACATTTGTACACTCACCGATTTGCTCCAATCACTTGCTCACCGGCAGTCAGCCTCCGTATCACTCTTCTATTGCTACTACCATGGTTACTGTTCCCACAAACTTCACTGATTCATTCCTACACTCATGTTGAGAACTCAGTCTACCAGACTGGCTTTTGTCTTATCCCACACTGTTCAACCACCACCACACTGCAGGTCACAACAACACTCACTCACACATTCATTAATTCACCCACTCACCTACTCACCCACTCTCTCACCAACTCACTAACTAACCACACTGCAGCCATGTAACACTTCTCTTTTGCTGC